CACCGGGCAGCCGAAGCTCATCAGTGAGAAGCCTGCAACTTAGTATGTAAGTTAAGTCACTGGCAGTTCTCATGACAAGGTTCAGCACCCGTCATGCAAAGAGGTTTGAAGATTCTCCAATAGACCACCGGTTTACCGAGACGATGGGACATGGGGATTAAGTTGAAGTTAGACCCAAGCCCCAGTGACAGGGGCATCGGATCTGAACCTTCGCTTGCTTGTTGTATGAGTAGGCCACGAGTGCTCCAATCGTTAACGTGGTAGATTTGCCACGGCCTAGAGCTTTCCAGAGGACTGGTAACTCTCGCTAGGACCTCTAGCAATCCAACCCTGCCTCTGTTCGGCCGCCCAATACCCAATCCTCGTTGAACCTGTCCATCGATTCTGCGGTGCCGAATGCTGTAATATAACATGCCGTACTGAAGGATCATCAGTAGATCATGATTGCATCAGGAGTCGATCCGCACCCTAGATACATATATGTATTCGGTGGGCTCAACACCTCAACTTTCCCCTCTAAAAGCTTAGTTTAGTCCAACTGTTCAGTTTCGAGGACCTCCTGAGAAGGGGTTTTTTTCTTCCTTCAGGGGCAGAGCTCGGTCATGATCCATTCTCTAGCCGTGCTCAACGGGCATGGAGTGACTTGTTGGTACTTAGCGTAAGGTAGGTCTTCCAAGCCAGCCTCCGCCCCGTCTGCGCTAAGCCTTGGTTTCTGCGGGCCTCCTGAGAGGCGCTAGCACGCTGACCAATCGCAACTCTGCACTCCGCAGCAGATTCTGAGACATTGTCTCTGATGAGGCAGCCGTTATGCTTGCTCAACGCTCAAGGCGGACGCCTGATAAGCACTTTCAGATAAAGCATCAAAACGGCGACGAACTAGCCCTGTTATTAGTGCTCCTGGGTAGATGTTTAAATCGTACGTTTTTCTCACTCGAAACATCGCCTGTATTCCTGCACCCCTTGAAGTCGTAGGAAGATATGTGCGGGCCGCGGATCTAGTGCCCGGACGTGGTAAGCGAAGGCAATCTCTGATAATTCTGAATCTCTGGTAAACAGCGACCCCGAAAATGCTCGGATCTGCTTCTGACCAGGACCTCTTACAAGGGTAACCTCGTGTCAGGCTGCCAGCGGTCTTGTCTGAAGGATGACCAGGGATTCATGCAGCCTGTGGTCGGAAATGCATGCATATCGACAAGGACACTATACTCGATTCAGTACGTGACGTCCTCAGTATCTAAGTGCCGAAGACAAATTGGGCTTCAGACTGTAATCGCAGGTCGAATGGGAACAGTGTCCCGCGGGTGTTTGTGTGTACTCAGCTGGGAAAGGATTGTATCGTAGCAACCACCACGGCTTTCTGTTTTGGCTCGATTGTGCTTAACTACTGAGCAAGGTCGCTACTTATTTAGGCCGTTGTTGACGACAACAATCAGACATGCAGTTTTATGACGGTTCAGAGCCGCAAAGTCGAAGTGACCCGTCCAAAAGTGATCGACAAGATCGGCCCCTGCCAGTATCGGGACGGCTTCTTCCCGACAGCAAAGACCATGTAGTCACTTTCAGATCGCTTCTGGAATCCCAGGCCCTTGACTTTTCATGTTGGAGATTCCCCGGTGTCCTCACTTCATCGGAAATCACCGCAAAGTGTGTAGAATCTGCCATGGTTTCCAAAGCACTCTGAACACCTGACGTTAATGCACAATATATCGTAGTGCATGTACAGGTTCTGGAGTACATCGTATCCGAGATCCTGGTTTTCTGTCAAGTAACCCCCGCACTGAAGAGCTAATCATTTCCTAGACCAGTATCTGGGGGCATAATGGTGCACATCTTATGTAGATCATCCGCCAGGAAAATGCCTGCAACATGCACAAAGCATATCAAGAAAGATTTTGATCCTCGTTCGCAAGCAAAGAGCCTCCGCTGAAGCAATTCGCGGTCTGCGGTGAATCTCGAAGAAGACAACAGCAAGAAAGAAAGTGACGCGGTCTCCCACAAGCCGCTCAGGCGGGTGCAGGTACATACATACGAGTTTGCTTATTAGTGAGTCGAGACCGTTCTCTTCGGCTTTGCCGTGAACTTCATTCTGGCTCAACCCCACCCCGTCGTACCTGAGAAGTGGAGGTGCTGTGATGTTGAAAATGAGTGTGCGACCCACTGCACCGATACAGTGACCAAAGACCTGAGAATATCAGTTTGGCATGCTGATAATAAACAACAAAATCTGTCTCTCAATTTCAACTCACTCACGTGCGGTGCTCGAAATGATCAGCACTCTCAGTACTGAAAACTTCTGTAGATAGCAACCTGGTTATGGAAGGACTCCGCTGTTTGGTTGTGATAAATAACTTTTTGGCCCTGTATCAAGCATTCGTAGTCGGGTCCGTGTAACTTTCATATTGGTGCATTTTCGTCAATGGGAAGCACAATGACGGTGCTACTGTGCTGCGATGCTACACTCAAATTCGTTGCTTCGATATATCATTTCCTAGGATAGGCACCGTGCGCTCAGCGTTGAAACCCTGCCAGTTTTGGAAAGCTTGGTTTGTTTCCATCCCTGAGCAGTTGCGTTTCCGGTGACCCGCCTCTGGCGAGACTTACAGCTGGCCTGAATTGTCGCTTATCCATGCCGTTGATTCGTAAACTCTGGCTGGTGACCCCATCGTGGGCTAGGATCGACTCGCTGGCGACTACATACATGTCACAACCATGGCTGGACAGGTTCTTGAAGCTTGAGAGTCGCATCCTCCTGGCCTCTCAAGACCGTTGACAGACACATCCCCAATCTCTTTGTAGTGCCCTGGCGTCACCTTCCTGCAGGTGCGCAATTTGCGGCCGGGCCCGCTAATGGCCAACCGCTCACGCTCCCTCGCTCCCTCGCACCCTTTTCACATTTTCACCGGTCGTGGCGTGCCTTGTAGCGCTGAGCGAACTTCACTTGGCTTGATGACATGTTTGATATCAGAAGGCAAAGATAGACCAAACAGTGCCTGTATGACAAAGTCGGAACAGTCGCATCTGAGCCAGATGTTCCTTGTAGACTGGAACTCGTCACAAAGACACAGTGTTCTCCTGAGATTGAGAATGCAGAGAGCCGACTGAACCACCTTGCTGGGAACCAGAGCGCACTACAGACGTAGTGTTCAAGCCGCTTACACAACTTCACGCAATCCCTCGTCTTGCTGTCGATCGTACCACGCCTCTTGGGGACACACTAAGTTGCAGTACCCGATATAGACAGAAGGGGTTGTACGCGAGGGATGCCAACGGCGAGGAAGGATGTTCGGTTGTAGCACCACTCAGAGCTGTCATTTGTTTCGACTATGCAAATGCGCAGAAGAGGATTTACATGGATGTGAGAATTGGCAAGCTGAATAGCCAAGGTTACATTCGCCATACTATATATGCACTCGACGTTGTTCAGCTCTGCAAAGCGATGGCAAAGATGAATATCCAGACCGAGTCGGGACTTTCCTACCTGCAGTTCCTTGTGCAGGGGTGGTACGTGGATTGTTGAAGTATCATCTAAGTCGTTCGCCGTCAAATGGTTCAGTCTGATTTGGGGAAACTTTTTGACTCGGCGACTTGGATGGTCACGACCTGCTTGGTGTGAACAACCTCAATGGCAAACTAACAAACAAGGCTGCAGGATCGCAAATTCTCTCCGCAGGGCTTGTTGGCAATTGTCGATTTGGTGTGATGTGATAATGTGGTTGCACAGCTAATAAATGAGCTTATTATGCCGTCCGCCACCAGCGGATGTGACAAAGACAACGTCGTACAAGCTGGACACTCAATCTGCCATTTGATCTTTGTGTGCCATGATGAAAGACAAGAGGTGATGAATATGTGGACTTCAGATGGACCAATGTGAATTGAGAAAGCCCTTGTATACCGAGCAGAGAAGCAAGCGCCAAAAAGGCAGGCCACAGTCACTTCCATTGGAGTTAGGAGGTAGGTAGGTTAGTAGGTAGATATTGACCTACCTGCCTTAGTACCTTTTGGATACTTTTGAGTAATCACGGAGAAGGTGGCCGTGAAGTGGCAAGCTGGAAGCTAGAAATGGAAAGCATAATCTGTTTTAGGATAACGTCTTTCCCTCACAAGCCCGAGTAGGGTACGGCGTAAAAGGTAAGTCTTTCGGGGTATACCTACCTGCCTCATCTCACCTCCCAGCTCTTCGGGACTGCATGAAAGAAAGCCCAGGCCAATGGCAGAGGTCTGTTGACAGGGCATGATTGGCTGGGGACTGACGACTTCAACAACAGCACGCTGTAAGCGCTGGGCCGGCGGTCCTCGTACAGGGGGACTTAGGTACGATCTACTTGCCTCTTCACGATACCTTCCGGCCCAATCTAAGACTTCTGGACTTCTCGGGCCCGGAGCTTATTTGACTACGCCGACTCAATTCGCTTAATTCACAGTTCAACTCATGCATGAATGGCCTCACGGAGCGATTGCGTGTTATCGCCGACAATTGGCATTTCTGAGGAAGCCAGGCCGAACACCAAGCATCTGCACCCAAGCATCACAAATGCATCAGAGAAATGGACATAATCTTGATCTGACTGAATATCGGCCCTTATTCTGGCAAGGTCATCTTTTGTTTAGACTTCTGGGCAATGCTAGTACGATACGAGATTGTGCGTCTCACAGAGTCAATCACCACCTAACATGGATGAGCAACGGTGAAAGGCAATGTCAACGACAACGAAAACACCAACAGTTGGCCGAATGAGACAAGGTCAAGGCACAGAAACTGGAGCGTCGCCTCCCTGGGACCCGGCCCTACCAACTTGCATCAACCCCTCGAGCTAAGTGCGAGATCCAGCGTGGACTCCACTGTGGCAGCTCTTGCATCTTCTTTAGGCGTAGGTCCACAACAGCTATTCCCTTTCACAGTCAAGACAGGCGAACGCAGGACCCGCTGACCCAATCCCGCCAGAACGGTGACTTCAAGCCCTCCGAGGGATGCTTCGGAGGGATAACAGAGCTGTGGATCAACGAGCGTGGACAAGGCGCCGCCACGACGGCAGCACAGACCGGCGCGGAGCGCTCCCTCGTTTGCGGTGCCCACTGCAGCATGGAGGTGCCCACAAGGGCCCCCGGCGCACGCCTAAAACAAAACTCTCGCGTAGCCTTGTCGTTGGGAAGGGTGGACAGGGGTTGAATGCAGGGATGAGGTCGGTGGGCGAGCCTCCAGCTCTTGGGCCCGCAGCCCGGAACCTGAGCCCAAAGTTGCTCTAGGTACCTGGCCAGAGCACAGCAACCTAGGCTCTGGTGCTGATTCTTCGCGTGTGTGCCTGGAGCCCCTGCTCTACCCATGACAAGACATCTCGCCGCGATGTGATCTCCTCCCCCGGCCATGTTGGGATCCAGGGGTCTGATTGCTTCTTTTCGACTCCAGCTCCCTCGGGTGAGAACCCACACGCCATCTTGCAGACAGTTTACCATGACGGGCCAAAATGACTGCCGGTGTTTTCAAGGGCCCCTCAAGCTGTGTACAACGTGAAGAGGTCGTTCCCTTCTTTTACCCTCGCACACCCCTCCAAATCTCCATCATTGCTTTCCCTTCCGACTAAGAACCTCCTTCGTCTACTTCATCCTTAAGAGGTCAGTTTGACTGACCTTTGTCTCACCATTGCGGTACTCTTCTCGCTTGCCTGGATTGCCTTGCCTTAACAACGGTTCTTCAAAAGACGACTTGTTCCGCCACCTAACGCAACTTGATCACCCACGACCTCCTCACTCTCTTTTCTTCTATTTGATATTGCCTAGCCAGTCTGACCAAGTCACTCTTTACTTGTAATCGACAAGAAATCGATCTGCCATTCGTTCATACGCTTAAGATATCAAGCTTTACAGAACCTGACCCTGACTTACACGCGGGTCTGCATTCTTCATTCCAATCATTACCGCCAACTCGCCTGTTACATTCCTGAATAAAAGCCAGTGATGGAGAACATGGGTTCATACCACCACCAACCGCAGTGGTCTGGCTGGGGCTACCAGAGCGCTGCCCACCAATACCCCAGATACTCTCAACAACTACCAAGTTATGCGGCTTACCTCCCTGAATCAATGGAACTTTACAATGCTCACCAGGGACATCTCCTACATCATCACCAAATGTCTAGAACAACTGAGACAAAGCCTCGACTCTCTAAAGAGGAGGTCGAGATCCTTGAGGCCGAGTTTCAGAAGAACCACAAGCCCAACAGCACTACCAAGAAGGCACTGGCTGAGTCTATGAGAGTAGACAATGCCCGTATTAATGTCGGTGTTGAATTTTGAGAAACCTGTATCGAAATTACTAACAAACTCGCAGAACTGGTTCCAAAACCGACGAGCAAGGGAGAAGAAGGAGAAGAACATCCGCGAGTACGCGGCGAAACAGAAAATGGACAAAGACACAACTTCCAATGACTCTGGTGTCCACTCAGACGACGACCATCTCTCTGATCGGGTTGTTTCCAGCGCTCCATTCCCAGCCCCTCGCCCTCTCGAAATCCGGTCGACAGACGTATCAAGTCCTGAGCATGAAAGCGAGAATGATGCTAGCCACTCCGATTTTGGTGTCGGCTCATCCCCAAATCTATCTTCTCAGCCTACACCAGAGCCTGTATCCGTATCTCTCAACGCATCTCTGCCCTCTTACAGTCAGAATCCTCAGTTGATTGTGCCAAACGAGGATGATGAGCCTACCCCTTCATTACCCCAGCAGTGCTTCCCTCGCCTGTCCACATCCCCTATTCAGGAGCAATATGTTTACTCCAGCAACAGCCTTGCTGTGGACCACACTAGTCAGCCCTCTATGGGTCTGAAGCCCTCCCCTTCGATGGATATTGCATCTCGTCGAAACAGGCGCCCACCTCAACTTGCCATCAATGCCTCGCGCAGTTACTCAGCAAGTGGTCCTAGAACTGGATTCGACATGGGAAGAAGGGCAGACGCTGGCCACTCAATGCGTCGTGTTGCTTCCGCGACTGGCGTTGGCCGTATCAGCAAACCCTGTGGTGGCCCGAGAAGCCCCTATTTTGAAAGAAACCCCGAGGCTCTCATGCAGCTTAACCGCTCCCCTAACTTCCAGACTGCTGCAACAATCGCACCACCCACCCCTAACACACCTGTCGTAGCAAACCAGCAAGGCTTGTGCGAGGCCACTCCGGCTAGCTCAGTAGCATACGAAGAGAAGTACCCAATGGATCTTGCCGTTCACGACCCAACTCTGCGTACTCCACCCACTACACCAGGTGTCATGGATCAACTGTACAGCAACGAGTCTGTATATCAGGTCGCCGTGGCGGATGAACCTCTGGTGACACCAGGACTGGCGCCATACCCCAGTGAGTTCGAGGTTCCTGGTACCTCAAGCCAAGTGCCCAACTATGTTTCACAGGGGTGCTCTAGCCAGCCCCAGACCCCTTCTTATGGTGCCCCAATGGGGCCTACCTACTTTGGCTTTGCTGGTGGCAACGCTGAGTACAATTGGTCCGACGACGCCTCATTATCGTCACATTCATCGCCTGGACAAAGTCAGCAGGGCGTCAATTTTATGAACATGACGCCCTCCAGCTTCACATACTCGGACAAGTAAATGTCCAAACATGGCCCAGAAACGGGTCGTGACACACCGCTATCAGCACCAACGGCCTCTTGCAACTTGTACATAACAGCGATTTCTTTTCTATTTCATCAAGGGCATTGTACAGTATAGACACAATGTCTTCACAGCAGCAGAAAATTGACGATTGTCAAAGCTAGTAACCATTGTTTGTTTCTCTTTTGTTCCTGTCTTTTCGGTATTTTATGAATGGATACAATGGCATCATACCCTAATGTAATGGGAGGACGGCACTGGCTGGCGCTCAGGCATGTACACAGGGAGCGGAGTTTATTATGATCACGGAGGATCAGCTACCACGGAAATGGCGCGAGATCTTGGCCAGGAGAATACCATTCATTGAAGGTACCACATTGGAAAACCTCTGTGCCATGACCGCTGGAAGAGTTGGCAGCACATGGAGAAGCACTTAGGAAAACGCAGAAATATACTTGAATCTACAATTCAATCAAACTCATCTCTACGTCGCATGAGTGACTTTGTTCAAAATAAGATAGTATGTTGCAGACACTTGGTAGTTATGGAGTGGCAAGACCTCCATGGGGTAGATGCAGTCCTGCGATGACTGGCCACAGGTATGAGGATGTTCATAAAACTGAACTTGAAGTAGCGAATACCAAACTCGTTTACGGAGAGCCCATAGACGGAGAAAGCGCAGCGCACACCCCTGACGATGTTATGCTGTTTTTAGACCCCAAGGTCGTGAACCTAAAAGCGTTATGGTGGTGTCCCACATCCCTGTCCTGTAAAGTGGTGGGTTCCCAAAGCAGTAACATATCGAGTTCTAGTTGGATGGCGCTATCCAGAAACCTTGTTCTTGACTCAAACGAACGATGAAAATGCCTTTGGCTCTCCAGTTCCTGTTTCTGGTCACATTAGCCCAAACCCGAGAACCGGGTCTCAGCCCGGACGGGCCAGTCCGAACGAAAGCCCCGGGCCGCCGAAATCTGGACTTATGACGGAAGAGCCCAACCAATCAGATGACCCTCTCTGAGATCCAGATTAAATTCTTGTGCCCATGACGGCCCCGCACCACGCGGTACCTTCAGCCATGTCTGCTGCGAGGGAAAGGGTTGGCGCGGGGGATCGACACTGCAAATGCTGAGTTTGTGCAACGGGATCGATTAAGTAGACACACAGCCAAGCCAATTGAGTATGAGGTGGTAGAAATATGGGGCATGTATCTTGAATTCAAATCACTTCTTTCGTCTGATAGCCTCAACATGGGCCTTGTACTACTCGCAACATCCTCAAGGTAAAAAGAAGAAGAAACTTGCCGTGAATCCTCCACGGACTAGTCAGTCATGACAGAAGACGCGTATAGTGCCTTGCTAAAAGCAGTTGGTCAACCCAAAGCACGAAAGATAAACGGCACAGTTGGGGTGGCTATCAAACGTCTGCTCGCTTACAAGATTACAGTTTGGAGGCTTGCCGGTTTTCGAGGAAAGTCAAAAAGGATCTCCGTGGCATCGAATGCAGCCCAACTGGGCTAACGTAAGGGACAACGACCTTGAGAAATGTTTGCCTCCTGTTCCTTGCAGTAACGCGTGGGGTGATCAATGGCCAACCATGTTCGAGAACAAAGAGCCGTGGCCATAGAGTATCGGCTAAGTAAGATTCAAAGAGTCGAACGTGACTCTGCAGCCACTAGGAACTGGCAAAGTTGACGTTTACGAGCCTGGCAGGCCTGGATTAGCAAAAATCTCTTGCGCTGGTGATTGCTCAGAGCTGAATAAGTGTCCGTTCGTTGTTGTCCAACATCACATGCGCTATCATGTAAGAGTCTTGGCATTCATCCTGTAGACGTCAGCTTCCGCCAAGTCACGGACGAGACACTTCGTATATACAAGATAACTTCTACTTGCATACGAGTTTGTAGTAATGGAAGATCATCAGAGAACCGCTATAGCCGGGGTATCTTCAACGGCAACGACGTGCCCTGAGATTGATATCGTAGCTGGGTGTGTCTTGTTTCATCCTCAGGAAAAAAATCCTTGGTCCAAAGATTATGACTTCAGACAAGGCTTATTAGTACGGATACCTGCTGGGTATCCTCAACTCAAGCAACATAAGGCACTTAGCTGTTAAAATATTTGCTGTAGCAGAGGGTTGAATACGTATCAAATTGACCGCAAATCGATGAGTACCTTGATGTCTATGATCTGGATGACAATAGTATCCAGATTGGTTCATGATGTCGTCCTTCAGATCGGTAACAATTCATGGCGTGACAACACATTTTAAATACATTCCAAGAAAGAACATGACTTTGCACCAACGGTGATTATATCCAATAGAGAAGAGAACGGACAATTTGGATACCATATTAATCACTATTCATGGATAATTAAGAATAGCAAATTGATGTATACCTATTCTACAGACCATTCACTCTGAGAATGAGGTGCTGAGGTGCTGTCAGTTCTGTAGCGTGTTTAGAGGTTATTCCAGGTAGCCTGTCCACTAAAATCAAGACGCGACGCGACGGGACCTCCCTATCAAATACGTCACATCCAATCCAATACACCTAGGTACCTTTACCTAAGTTAGAGGCATCTGGAGCTCCCGTGCACGCACCCCATTAAAACCACTTTAGCACATAAAATGCATGCTACTTGAGTACTTCATATCATAACAACAACCGTTTTTTGCAGCTTTGCAGCTATATCCTAGATTCAATTCTTTTTGTAATTGTATTCGAATATTCTCAGATGGATCCCGCCGCATGATACTTCTTCCGTTTCAATGTCCTCTTCTGCCGTTGCTGGCATAGACGCGACGCGTCCAGCGCGGTCAAGGATTTTGACACCA